ACTGGCACTATCAGACAGCCCAAAGGGCATGTCCTGCAGGCAGCAGCTGCCCAGGCAGTCCGCTTGGGAGGGGTACCCACAGAGTCTGCCGTGGCTCATGAAACCCCATCCCTGTCCCACGATGCTTGTTTAACCTCCTTGATCCCCCTAAACAGCCTGCAGGATCTGCTGTGACCCCAAGGGGATCTCCAAAGTCCAGAGTTAGGATGAACCCTTGCCAAAATTCTGGAGCTCACCAGGGAGAAGACTCCAGACTCATTTCACACTGCCCTGCTGCTCCACCTCCAGCTAAGTTCTGCCATCCGCACCTTGAGATGCCCCAGCCAGCAGCTATTCCTTGTCATCTTATTAGCAAGGAAGATGGCCCTGCTGGACGGGAGGACACGTATCACCATAACACCTCCTTATACCTGGGTAGCCTGTGTATAAACCCACATCCAACCCAAAAGCTAGGAGGGAAACATAAGGGCACTGGGGAACCATCACACCAGCACAAGCCACGTGGCTTCAAGCTGATACCTCCCTCGAAGGACTGCAGTGCCTCAAGATACAATAAATGACCCAATGATCCCAAAGGTGAGTAAAAAACCGCTGCTGGCATCCACACCCTCTGCTCAGGCGGGAGAGATCACTCGGGACCCGGGAAGCTGGGCAGAGTCCTATGATGGGGGAATTTGTAGTCCTGGGGTCTCAGCAGATCTATAAGGTTTCAGATCTCCTTGTCCTTTCTGCAAGCTGTCAACAAGGCTGCAGCTGTCACCATCCCCGTGCCAGAGAGAATCTGGGGCTCAGGTTACCTCGCACGTGTCAGAGGAAAGGCCAAGAGGATGCTGTGGCTGACCCGCACACTGAGGCTCATCGCAGAGGGAGCAGCAGGTAGCTGGGGGGGGCCACGGCCAAGCAGAGCCCCCTCAGCACCCGAGGAGCAGCAGCAGGCAGTCGAGAGCATACAGCGGCAATGCTCTGCCCTGCCCTTGCTCCTCTGCTGCACCGCTGCAACAGTCTGCAGGGAACAAGGTGGCTTGAAACACAGAACCCACTGGGAACATAGCACTGTGACATACAGTAAATTGCTGTGTCCACCGCTCCTGGCCCAAGGGGAGGCTCCCCAGGAAGAACAAGGTGAGGGGGTGCAGTCTGGGAGACAGACACAAGACATCCACCATGAAACAGAGATGAGCTCCAGGGGAACCGCTCAGTCAGCCACCAGCGGACTCCAGGCCTGCTAGAGCTGGAGCTTTGAAAATTAGGCAAAAAGAGGACATGAGGCTCAGGTGATGGAAAAGAACCTGCTGCACAGCACATCCATCACGCAGCCTCTAGTTTGAAGCTGTGGTTTCTGGCAGTTGCATTTGGGCTACTCAGCTGTGCTGCTGAGTCTGGCCCTCCTCCAGGGCAAAGCTCCAAGTAAAACAGGAGTCACCATGCGAGCCGGCCGAGCAGGGACAGTCGTGACCAATACCTTTGAAACAGCTTGCAAGGAATGGGCCAGGTGAGAATTAAAAAGAAAGTCTGTTTGCTTTATGTGTGCTTAATTTGATATATACAGAACAAAAAGGAGGTAGAAAAAAAAGGACCAAATGATTCTCAAACCCAGCTTGATGTGTTTGCCCTTGAATGATCAAGATCAGTGTAAAACAGCCCCCCAGGGCCCTGGGGAGAACATGCAGGATGTCTCAGAGAGAAACCCAGCTCACCCCCGCCCCTCTGGTCATTTGGGATGCTCTGTGGAGCGTGGGGTAGCAGGAAGGGCGTGCATTTCTACAGCACAGAGTAGTTCCTTCATACAAAGGGCTGGTCAGGAGAAACAAAATCCCTGACAAACATATCACTGCTATGTGTGCTACACAAAGCTAGCAGGTAGGATTCACATTCTAGTTATTTTGGAAATAAAATCTTCCCCATAAGAATATGTGCTGAGCAACTCTACAACAGAAGTTCTGCGCAGCCGCTCTTCTTCTCACAGCACTGCTCAGGGGTTACGTACTGGCTGTTGTCCAAGAGGTCTGCGCTGATTGTACTCAACAGCTCGGAAAACAGGTTTGAAAAAGACCAGAAAACCATCAGAAACGGGGATGTGGGCAGCCTACATCTCTCCATTTAAGAACATCACCCTTCCACAGCTTGGGTTTATTACAGGGATATTGCCCCACACTCTGGTCTCACTGAACAATTACACCTTCAAACACCTGCCCAGCTGGATGGGGTTTTATCCCTGTAGTTCAGGCAGTATCTTGGCTCCCAGAGAGCATTTAGTCTCCTCAGAGCTGAGCTGCTAAAGAATCCCATGCACTCCGGTGCTCACTCTGAAAATGCATGTGCTGTTCCTCATCAAAAAAGCGCACTTCGGTCAGGAACCAGTCCAAAAAGAAGAGTTCAGTCTACTCCTAAGACTCAGCTTTCTTGTGATTAGCTGGCATCCGTCACAAAAACCTGCTGCCCAAAATAGCCTGATCTGGCAGGGACCATGAGGTTTCACAGGTTTTCCTTTGAAGGGTCCTGTTGCCTTAACACATGGTCACTACGAGTTCAGGTAGAGCAGAGTGGCCAGGCTGCAGTAAGGAAGAGTGTCCCAAAGGCAGTGTTGTGCCTGGCTGAGCTCCCTGCTTTTTTCTTCTCCTTTTGGCTACCTCTGGCACTCAGGTTACTCCCCAGGCAGACAGGCAGGCACCCAAGCCACGACCGAGACAGCAGAGGGAATGATGGCTCCTCTCAGCAAGGCAACGGGAAATCACATTTTCCTTCTTTGAGCTCCCAAAGGTAGCTCAGTGGAGAAGTACTTCAGCATATTCCACCACTTGCAGCTCTGTATGATAAAGGACAGCTTCTAGTGAGATGCGCTATGCCAGGAAAAAAAGGAAACGTTTGTCTGCTGCTTTAGTGTGACAAAATTATCCAGGTACCAGTTGGATTTTCAGATTTATCTGTGATTCTTGCAAATGCAGTCACTGCTGTTTAAGGGGAAGCTGCATAAAGCACAAGCTGTAACTTCTGAAGCCCACAAACGACAGGGGTTTAAAGCTAAAAGCAAAGCGGTAAGAACCAGACTGCTCATCAGGCCTTGGCCTGATATGAACTGATACTGCATAAACCGATTTTAAACAAGCTGATCAGATGTGACAGCAAAAGGCAAGGGTGTCTCTTCATGACAGTCAAAATACTTCATCAGTCTGTAACTACATAACAGGCAGCAATCTGGAAAAACACGCAGAGGAAAGCATCCCCTCCTGCGCACTGGCTGAACCTCCGCTCAGCCCAGCAGCGCTTGTGCAGAGGCCAGCCTCTGCAGCTGCACTCACTGCCTCGCCCAAGCAGTGCGAGCACCAACAGCAAAACCCAAAGTGCTTCAACAGACTCCAGCATCTGGAAGTGCTCCAGGGTGAGGCAGCCTTGTTTGCCTTTAAAGCTTCTGCACTACAAACAGCGCCTGCTGCATGCCCCTGCAAACCTCACTAACGGTTTGCTTTACAATTTCCTTACTACAACCTCAGTCACAGGTTTTCACTCTCCCCATGATTTTACACACCCTGTTAATATATCCCTTTTCTCTCAGGGAAAGGCAGTAACCAGACCCATCCTCATCTTACACCTGAATAGAACCGAGGCAGCAGAGTACTGCTGAACGCTTGAGCTCTGCTGTTTCCCTAAGGCAGCGACTTCTCTTTTGGCTGCTCACTACCAACCAAGCCAGCTGACCCATGGGCAGAACATGCGACAATACAGACGGTGCAACTTCACAGTTTGTCCTCCTATTTCACACTTCGGAATTAAACAATGTACTTACCAAACACTCGTGGCATTAGTGAATGTCTGCCAGCCATGTTCCAGACACAAGCCACAAGAACAAATGCATCCTCTCCACAAGGCAACAGAAAGCTAATCAGCATTCTTATTATTCTCAACTTATTTGAGATTTTGCAGTATTTAGCTATCCTAGAAAATGTGCCAGGTGAAAAACATCACCAAACTCTTTATATTGTACCTACAGGTAAGTCACAACCCCCTGATAATCACCATTAAATACCGTATCAAAAAAGGTGGCCCCAATGCTGCAGGAGGGTGTTGCGCCACCCAACACAAAGTCCTGTGGAAAACGAAACAAAGCAAGCAAAAGAAACGAGCATCAGCTGCAGTCTCTCATCAGTACAGCTTCCTACCAACCATCCCATTCCAGGCTAATTATAAGCCATCAAACAACAGGGGTAAACCAGTAAAACCTCCACAGTGATGATTTGATCTTTCTCTACTTACAGAGTACCTACAGGATGAAACCCTAATTTTTTAAGGTTATTGCCGTGGTCACATTAGGCATCTGAACATGTTTTCATCGTCTCTATTATTTCACAAGTCTGTAAGACAGCTGCTTACACTCTTAGGCTATAACTCTTCCTCCCTCCCTTCCTCACCTAAATTTCTTTCTAAGCTCCCCCCCTCTGCTCCACTCTCCCCAGTCTCAACTCAAGAGCTTCAGTGCAAGAACACAACTCACAGAAGGCTCCTGTCCCTACAGATTCCCTCACATATTACACCAGATAAAGCATTACTGTTCTCACTGACAGTTACGAGTACTCCGCTTCGTGCCCCAGCACAGTTCAGAGCTCTGCAGGAAGGTCTGCATCCCAGCCAGAGGCAACTGCAACACAGGGCAGAGACAGACAGACGACTCTGTACTATGCCGATGAGACACGAACTGAACTCCACGCTCCCAGCGACACACAAACAAGTCTTGCGTCTCTCTTCTCAGCATCCACAACACAGACGCATCCTCAGTGCAACATGAGCTCCCTTATTGTATTCTGAAACGCTGAAGGTCTCACTCCAACACACAAATAAAACTTGTTCTGTGACAAGGAGAACTTTCAGAAAATTCTCAGGGGTCAAACACCCTCTTTACAGAGCTGTGCAAGAACAACTTTTGCGTCACAATCTGAAGCTTGATTCACTTCAAACCATATGTACACATTTTTATTCAAAAAAAATAGAAGAGACAACACACCAGATAAAAAAGGCTTAAAATCCACTTTAATAATGCATTCCTGTAACATTCCTCAGACAAACTCAAACTTGTTAGTGGGACAATTACAGCTTGTGTTCAAACAGTTTACACTAAATGAAAAATCTTGTAGTACTTCTACACAAAAGACAGGCAAGGTTAAGATTATACAAACATTTGTTTCAGTTAAATCTTCAGCATGAGATACAGTATCTTTGTCCAATAGATTGTACTTTACTACCAGTAAAAATAAACAGCGATACAACACGTTATCAAAAAATCCATCCAAACAAGAGCCTCCCAGCCATTCAGGCTGCACATGACTGTCAACTACTTTAAAGAAACAGATGGTCCAGATAAAAAGAATAACTACAAGTTAGGAGAAAAAAAAAGAAAAAAAAATAAACGAACATAAGATCGCCTCCAATTCACTACATGACGGATCAGTTGGAGCTATATAAATTTACAGAATCATGGGAGCTGCAAAGTACCCAGATGCTGCCCCAGTTCTCCAGAGACTTCCCTGTGCTCTTAAGCAAGGTACACTACACTACAAAAATGCCAAGACGTACTGCAATTTTATCTAGTTAAGTCTCAGGACTCCCACTGCAAATAGGAAACCTGGAATGGTCAAGGCATTAGGATCCTTGCCAGATTTTACCGTTACTGAACAACCATGGCAGCTTCCCAGAATCCATTTTTCACATTGAAATTATAGGAATGCACCACATGAAATTTCCTAAAACCTTTACGAGTCAGACAGCACTCCCCTTGTCCTAGAGTGGCTTTACCAAAATAGGCCCTAATTAACTATTTTTAATATCCCCCCCTCCCCCGAGTTGAACCCTGTATGGCCTGCCAAGATTCCTTTCCTCTTTGGGGCATGTGCAGGGGCTAGCTTAATCCTGTTAGTATCTGCGACGCTTGTTAGGGCCAAAATCACCCCCTGGATTTCCTCTGTTGAAGGCAGGCGGGTTCCCTCCCATCGCTCCAAGGCCTTCCATTGCGCCGCCCTGGCCAAAGCGATCTGCAGGCGGTGGTGGAGTCTTGTAATGAGGACAAATGCAGAAGAGGCAGGACGAAAAACAAGGAACAACAAAGGGCAGTTAAAAGCCATTTGAGTTGATTGAAATTCTACCAGGATTCCACAATTCCAGCCTGCCTTGCTACAAACCTTCACCCCAGCCAAAATATCCCCAAAGCCCCAAAACTGGAGTGACAAGACCATTGCAGGACCAGTTCTCTCTCCCCACATAACCTGTAGTCAATCACACTGGCATACAACTTGCACCACCTTGCAGACTAGTGCCCTGCTGTGGAGCAGGTCAGTACCACAGTCGAGGAGAACTTCACATTGCCACCATATTCCTTCACCCACACCGAACGCAAATGAGGACCAGTATACTGATACTACAGCGCTATCACAATCCAGGTGTACACAGTACTTCAATTCCAAAACAAGTCTGCAACACTAGCCTTGTACCCTGATTGTACTGTGTTATTTCTATTCCTTTGGCCCTCCCCTCTCCCAGCTGGGTTAGTGCTATTGCACAGCTTCTTCCTTCCAGCATCAGGCTGGAAGGTACCTCAGGAGGCCTCTAGTCCAATCTCCTGCTCAAAGCAGAGTTGGCTGTGAGGTCACGCTAGGTCAGCCACAGCTTCACCCAGTCCAGTCTTGTAAATCTCCACGGACGAAGACCGCACAACCTCCCTGGGCAACCCGCTCCACTGCATGAATGTCCTCACGGCGGGGACGGTACTTCCCTTGGGGGAGGTACTGGAGGCAACCACTGCCTCTTCCTTCCCCCTGGACTGGAGCCAAGTGACCGTGTAGAGCAGAGCTCCTGGGTTCCATTTACTCTGGTCCACAGGTTTACAGCAGTGATACAGATATACACAATATAACATGATGCACATATGCACACTGTAATTGGTATTAGTACTGTAGATGACTCCATAGTATTGTCTGGTTCTACAGAACACAGACCCAAATTTCAGTCAAATTGTCAGTGGGGAGTTCCCAGGGGCTCTCAATGCTCACTTCGCTAGCAGTGCAGCGGAGGCACTAGCAGTAACACAGCACTCCTCCTACCTTTTCCCCTTCCCTACAGGTGAAAAATTCTGAGTAATCATCAACTTTTCCTATAAGGCAGATCATAGGGAAGGACGCTGCCATCACTCCAAGCAGCTGGAGCAAACATGCAAAGTTAACTGCTCCCTGCATGAACAAAGAGCTGAAACACATGGGCCCAGTAACCCCTAGAACCAAGCATGTGGTCAGGATAAATAGTTTCCCAAAAGACTACACATATTTCTGGCCACTAGAGAAACAGCTTATTGCTTTTTGGTCTAAATGATAGTAATTCATCATACTGAGTTTAGACTCACCTCCCCTTTGTACTCCTCTCTTCATCTTACCCCCTTAATTTCCATGTGTAGTACACATTCCCTTAGCCTCAGCTGCTCCACTGCCCCTACCGCTTAGGTACAAAAGCTTATGGCCAAATAAAACTTCTTTATGACAAAAAAATTTCTGTGATGTAGCAGTTACGATACATCAAGAAGACTAAGTAGGAAGGTTTGCAGGAAAACTGTTTATTAGACCAATTGATATAAACTGCTAGAGGAAGATGAATTTTCAGGACAAACTTGACTATGACTGCTGCTGTTTCTGCTGCTGACTGGAAGTGCTGACACTGCGAGAGGATCGATCCTCTGTATGACAGAGAGGAATGACAGATGCCACGGTCTATTGTAAAGTTCTGCAGTAAAGTTTAAAACTAAATTAAATATACAAATTAAATAAGGCAAACAAATGAGCATAACCTCCACTGATTCTTTGCTCTTTATCTCCTAAGCAAATTAGCTGAACTCCTTTTAGCATACTCACTATTACCATACTTATTTTACCCTATTAGCACAGGAGATAATTTTTTTAAAACGGAGGGACAGAACATTCCTGAAAGCTTGGCTTTATGCCCGCAAGAATCTACTTGCAAAACACTCTCATTCAACAAAGTGCTTCACATCATGCCATTTAAAAAATAACCATATAGTATCACTAAGATCTTCCTAGCAAACGTTTTAGCACTAGCAATCTTGGAAGTAAGTAGTTATTAGACTTGTCTCAATCTCCTGAAAACTACCATCTAGTATCAAGGCAAGATTAACTTCTAAAGATTCCAGCAGGACTTAAGCAACAGGTCTAGGTAGACAAACAAGCTTCAACTTTAGCAGCACAGCGCTTAACAATGGAAACAACATAATCTGGATTTAAAAGGTGTGCACAAACAGCAGGCGGAGATACATTACCATTCCCATGGCTCCATCAGGTATCATAGCTCCGGGACCAGTCGCAGGAGGTGCAGCAGCTGGGACGTTGGTACCACCCATAGCTCCTCTATTGTTCATGCCAATGGTACCTGGAAAAGAAAACTGAAGAATAGTCCTGGCAGACACAGTGACTGGGGTCTATTCATCCCTCCAGAGCCATGAAACGCCACGTAAGCTCAGCTCCTCGCAGTGTTACATTCAGGGACAGAGTCATAGTCTATTAATTAGCTTTAAGTCAAGACAAACTGATCTTGCATTCCAGTATTATCTAAAACTACAGCAGACTTTCAACACTCACCAGCTTCATTAACCACTAACCCCCCCATTGCCTTTTCACTTGTTCTTGTATGTGTGGGCTGAAACTCTAAATCATGTAGTCAAAATATGGAAATAAAGGAATCCAGATTATTTCCTGGGCTCAAGGTCTAGCACTACCAGCTTCTGTATCAGTACAAACTTCTAAAGCACACTATGGGTCAACAGCAACTTCAATCAAGTCTTTTGCTTACTGAACCAAGTCTTTCACAAATGTACAGTACTGCCTCATACACAAATATTGTTACGTTTCGTGTCACATGAACACTTCCTGTCACTGAACTGGGAGAATATTACTATGACCGAGTTTCTAAATAAGCAGCCAATTAAATATGACTACTCAAAAAATGTACAGATTTTGTAAAGGAGGAAAGAAACATGTGTAGGAACAAAGACAGCCACAGAATACTCTTACCTCCCATACCCATCTGTCCCATTCGCATGTCTGGTGGCTCTCTCTAGAAAAAGAGACACATTTGAAATTATAAAAATTCAGGCTTTTTAAAAATACAATTATATAAATTCAACAAGTTCTTCCATTTCACTACTGAAAACCGTAGAAAACTCATTCCCAGGGTGAATTTCAAAAGAAGATCTGAGCTACGTTCACACGATTAACCTCTGAACAAACTATTCTTATTTAAAATATCTCATTCTCAAAGACTGTTTTTCACAATCATGGTAAAACACCCAGCAGCAAAGCTGTGTGTGCAGATTCTACCAAACAGCAGCACAAAAATCTGGATGGGAAGATCCACTAAGCAGCAGTAACACATTAGATTGAATTAGTTTTGCTACTTCCTCAGCATAGTTAAGAAGCTTTTCCTGTTGAAAGGAATGCAAGCTTACATAAAGACATAGCACTGGGTCACTTGCATTAAAATACCAGTTAGTGAGTTCAATTTCACTTTTATTAACTGAGCATAGGGGACACACCACAGATCTCCCTCACTGCAAAGCTGGGAGCACCTCCTCACTTTAGTGCGGGTACTACTTTTTCCACAGTGGGAACTGAAGAACAGATTTCACTTCATCTAGAGACTCAGTGTCTTTATTTATCATAGGAAGGCACTATCATTTAAATAAAACAGGAGTTCTGCTACACAGGGTCACATTCACACATTTAGGTCAGTCACACGGTTTTGGCCCTCTTGGTTTGACACACATTTAGCTATGTTGCTTAGGGGCCAATTTTTCATTAGGATCCATAAACACTTGCCACCCAGTTGCATCAATGCCATTATACCACCTCAATAGCACTACAGCTGCCACCACAATAGAAAGCTGCTGAGACTGGAAACAAACTGTAAGACAATTCTTTCTAGACCTAGAGATGCTGCTACTAAAATGCAAGTTACCACACATTCTACATTACAAGAAAATACTTGACCAACTGACTTATAAGCACAAGCAATTATCATGCCTGCAGCAGCGCTTCAAGTTGGGATCATTTCATCTAAGCATGACTAAGACAGACTGCAAGCTAGGGATATAGCCGGGCATATGACCATAACAGGGTTCTGCAGCAGTACTTCAGGACTACACATCTTTGTTACTGTTAGAGTACAATTAGTTAGCACATATTCTTCTCAACAGCAAAACAACTAGTGAAGGTCCTACATGGATAGCAAGTGGGACAGTAACTAGAGCATTTATATTTTCCAGACTAAACTGTATCAAGAGTGGAGGGAGTCAGCAATTTAGGGCAGAATGCACTAAAGATGTGGAGTCCCTCAACCAACAAGTTAAGCATTCACAGAAAGCCCCGTGGTATGGAAGGGCAAAAATCTAATGTCAGTGTCCAAATGTAATGGGAAGGTAGAACAACTCATACCGCATCAGCAAAATTCCCTTTAAAGCCTTCCTGCTGGCGTCTCATCATCTCTTCTTGCTGCCTTCTCATTTCCTCCTCACGGCGCCTGCGTTCTTCCTCTTGCCTGCAAAAAACGTCCAAGGATCTCAGCACAACATACACCAACCATACACATCACAGTGCTGCAGTGCTGCCTAATGGGTCTTGTTTGGAAACCTACAACTTTTAGAACTTTATTTTGCTGAGGCTGTAAAACATAAGGTATCTCACAAAAACAGAAACACGTATGTGCACCAAGACATTTCCAACACTTTCAGTTGTAAGGAGTACACTTTAAAATCCAACATGAGCACACTTATGTGTGTCTCATGAAGAGCTGCTGGGGAAACTGGGGCTCTTCAGTCTGAAGAAAAGGAGTCCGAGAGAAGATCTTATCGATCTCTACAACTAGCTGAAAGGAGGTTGTAGTGAGGTGGGTGTTGGTCTCTTCTCCCAAGTAACTAGCAATAGGACATGCGGAAATGGTCTCAAGCTGCACCAGGAGAGATTTAGATTGAGTATTAGAAAAAATTTTTCACTGAAGAGGTTTTCACTGGAAAAAGTGATTTTCACTGGAACAGGTTGCCCAGGGAAGCAGCTGAGGCACCATCCCTGGAGGTATTTAAAAGACATACAGATGCAGAGCTTAGCAACATGGTTTAATGGTAGAATTGACAGTTAGGTTAATGGCTGGACTCGATCTTGACGGTCTCCTCCAACCTAAATGATTCTACGTACACAGCTGTTTCCTCCAACCTAAACAACTCTATGATTCTACATATGCAGCAGCTCCCAAATACCTACTGACTACTTGCAATATAATGCATACAAGCCAGTTCTCAAGCCCCTTCTATTACAGAAGTAGTCTGAAGATGTTCCTGGAGCTTCTCAAAATAAGACTGAGACAAGAAAGAGCTGGAATGGAGAGAGAAATGAAAAGATAGATGCTAGAATGGCGTTTTCCCAATCGACAGCACTGAAGCCACTGAATCACTGCACAGGTTCTGAATTTTCTATCTGCCTTGGTCAAGGAGCTAAACTGAGAAACAGAACTGTAAAAAAACCAAACACTTAATAGTGGAAGAAATTCCTAACTCTTCCACCTTAAACCAACAGTACACTCTCCCTATGAACAAAAAGGCCCAAAATAACAGCCACACTTTAGGTAGTAATTAAACTGTCACACCAAGCAATTAGGTGCACTGAAGAAGCGTTTCATTACGTAACATTATGTATTCACAGCATTTCATAACCTGCCCCCTTACCTGAGTTCCAACTGTTTACGTTTTTGTACTTCTTGGTTATGCAATTCCTCCATTCTCCTCAGCTCTTCCTGGCGTCTCATTAAATCTGCAAAAGACAACAGTAAAAATCCCACTCACACTCAACTCCCATGCCACCTCTTCTCAATTCCTGAACTAGAACCCTAACACACAAGAAACAAACTAACAGAGCCTCCAGCAACACAGTAACACCTCTCCATTCCTTTGCCACTACCTGCTTGGCTACACCACAGCTCACCTTCAGTGGACTCTAGGCAGTCTACCGAGCTACCCACCCCTGGATGTTGCAGGGCCCTGCTCTGATTACTGTATTTATCTTTGATGGGTACCTTGCCGCATGAGCATAACTTGATGCTCATGGCGAGCTGCCTCCATTTCCATTTCCAGCTTCTCTCGAGCTTCCTTGATGTTGCGGTCTACTTGCTCTTGCTGCTGCTTCTCCATTTCTATTAAAGCCTTCCAACGCATGGCATATTCATACTCAAAGCTGCCAGGCTGTGCAAATCGAGGAGGCTGCTCGCGCTCCCTGTCAAACAAGGAAGAGCTAGTGAATGCTTCAACAGAGCAAGGAGGAACCAAGAAAAACACATGTGTGTTAAACACAATGGCAGATCCTTTTAACGGTTAAAAACGCATTTCTTAGTGCAACAAATAAGGAACCACCTTGTCTTCTATTTTCCCCACAAATAGCTATGCCCAAGATACTAGTTTGTCTGCTCCTCTGGAATCACCTTATTGAAAAGTGAAACTTGGGCAGAATCCTCCTGCAGGACTCATTCTACACGGAAACTGTGTCCCATCCTCCTCCATAACAAGCAATGACATTGCTTTCGTAAGACACCAAAAGATCCTGGGTAAACAAAGAAACAGCCTCTTCTCCTGCTGCACATCTTATGGACAGATCCACTCAAAACAAACACTGCCAAAATGTGCATGTTTATTTCACTAATCTCTGCAGCCCCTGCACCTGGAGCACATGACTACTCCTAACGCAGCCTCCCAGCTCCTGAAGCTCTCATCTTCCTTACCTGAAAAATCCATCAGCTCACATGGTTTACTAATTCCCACTGCTCGGATCACATGATACCTACTTACCTTGGAAAGCCTTCAAAGACCATGGCCTTATACCTGGATAGCACTACAAGCTCCTAATGCTATTCACATCATTCCTTACATTTTCTCTTTCTGTTCAAACCTGTTTCCTCTACAGACTTTCCATAATACTTAAGAGCAAAGTAACTTAAGTCTTTGCTTCAGCTTCTCATTTGAGCGAGGGGATCTCATGTTATCTCAAACTGAAACAATTTTTTATTCCAACGACTGAAGCGTACTTATGAAAAGTATGTGGAGGCTGCCAGTCTTATCCAGCAGCATGGATCCAAAACCATGGCTTTCTTTCAGCTAACTCTTTCCAGAGTCAGGTCACATTTACAGAAAAAAGGAGGACCTGTAGTAGCACTGACAAGCCACCCTCCTAAGACTGAGGCACTAGTCAATGTCCCAGTCCACAGGCAGACCCATCTCCTGTCACATGGCAGGCACATACTTGTGATATTGCTGGTTTTTGATTACTAGTTTCTCTGGTAGTCCCTCTTCATCATCATACTGATCCATGGGCTCCACAGTGACAGGCCGAGGGAATCTGTAAAGAAAGATAAGGTGCTTTCAAGAAAATTCAAGAATGAGCTTGCAGTGTAGGTAAGCACGTGTACTGTATCTGAAGTTATAAACTACTGCTTTTAGCACTGCTCAAAGAAATTCAGAGCAGTTGGGTATCTCAACTGAAGTGAAACCAGAAATCACTTTGAGCACTTTTTTCCTTTCTTTCTAGAAAAGGAGCTGAACTGTTAATCAAAGTTCTTGTTGAATCCAACCCAAAATTGTCCTGAAAGAAAAGTACTTGCAGTTACTGATTCAAATTAACAGCTTAACTGGAACCAGACATCCTCAAGTAGGATCTACTCAGCATGAAGTCTTGTAGTCCCTTTCCTCCCTCGGTACACGGCCAACCACGGGCTGCACAAGTCCTTGTGTGCCTTTGTACAGCTGCCTAAAGCAAGGAGTAACTACGCTGCTCCTCATTGGAGGTTGTTGGCTGTACCTTTCAGTCATACTCTCCTGGTGAGACGACCGCGTACCGTTCTTGCCAAGCAGCAGTGCTCTTTAAGTGCCTGTTGGACCCTGACTGAATTTCACCCCCAAGAAATCCACTGGTGCACTTCACAACAGACACTGCACGTGTGCTTCTGTTCTCCTGGTTTCTGTGTGCAGCAGAAAGTATTTAACAGAAGTGTCCCCAATCTCTGAATTAGCTCCTCATCACAGCACTGACACTGCTCATTCTCAGCACAAAGCAGCACCACAGGTTCTCATTAGCTCAACTCCGTTTGCCAGAGTTGGGGAAATGGAATTGAAATGATCACGCTATGCTAAGTGGCAAGTGGTGCCCAGACTTCAGCAGCAAGGTAGGCTATAAGAGGCTAAAATCTCTCTCCTCAGCTGAAGATCCACAATGCAGCTTTTCACTTCCGATGCAACGTACCACATTATTAATAGTCTTACTTTCCGATGTGAACTAATTCCAACCAGTTTATCTAGCTATTACTGTCATGAACTAGGACAAACCAGAACAAACTTAGTCAAAACCAAACCATAACTAGAAATTAGCAACATACTGGTTTGCTGTCCTAGATATCAGAATCTAATACACTGATAGCTACCAAAAGACTGAATGTTACCCTCAGATGCTCTCAGTTATGCACTGGTAGTGATTAGTTTTGCATGACCACTTTTGAAAATCTGTCTTCATGGTTCTTTGAGGATACAGACTTATGAAGTAGCAAAAGCTCCCTAGCAGCAATCCTCCTGCAGAGCACTACACACTATGCCAGTTATCCCCAAAGAGTCTCAGGGAGAAAAACAGATACTAAAAACACTAAACCCAAAACAAAACACCTGCTTTTTGAAACCGAATCCGCTTGTCTATGGCTGTGCCATATGCAGGCCCCCAAGAGAAAGGACAGAAGTGAGAGGCACAAAACTTGTAAAATTGCTTTAGAGATTAGCAATATAGCCTCAATATCAGGAAGTATTCTATTCACAAATTCTAGGTACATACATGCAAAATACACAGTAATTTTTATTTCCAAGAGATCAAAAACAGCTCCCTCTTAATAGCTAGAACAACAAGCCATGCTCTGTGGAATGTATCTAGAACTAGTCATATACTTGAGCAAGTTCACACCATCATGCAAGAACATGCTTTGTTGCTTTATGATACTCAAGCATAAGGAAAAGTTTGTTACAATGAAAACTCCAAACAGTCCAACCTATCTGACTGGCTTCTCCAACAGATCCCACGGCCACAGTGGTGGATCAGCATTCCACTCCAGCAGCGCATGCTGCTGAGTGGAGTCCCATCCCAAGACTCGCCTCTGAAGTGACCCAGAGTGCACAATTAACACACTTGAGCTTTGTTTCCAACAAATGACATGGATGGTCTCTGAAATAGCCCCTGCTTCTTAAAGGCTGCTTTAAGTGCCCTAAGAAGGCTTTATCAACAAGGAACATATCAGGAAGTTTTATGCACTTACCCCACTAGCAGCTTCCCAGAAGAAAGTTTTCAGACCTGAGTCTCAGCACAGACTCACTCTTGTTGGAACAAAGCTAAGTAAAGCTCTCCCCAAGCAAATCACCTACCACCACCTGCCCCATAGCTCATCTGTCCCACTCTGGTGTTAAGAAACATTGCTCACAGCTCAGTGCCACCCATCAACTTGCACGCATGCCAGTATAGCACTTCTTGCCCTCAACACTTACGTAGTTAGCAGGAAAGACCCATCACTACATCTATCCAGGGCTTTCCTAGCAGCAGGCTTCCCTGAGAACTCCACAATGCCTTTCCCAGAGGATCGTCCTCTGTCATCCACAATAACCACAGCCCTTTCCACCTGGCCAAACACCGAGAAGGCTTCCTCCAGGAGCTCATTGGACACAAACTGAGGCAGGTTCCTGACTGTCAGCGATGCGCTGTGGCATGCAAAACGCACTCTTAGCTGCTTCCCACGTAGAGGCATGTTGTCTAGTTCCACCTTTGCAATTTCTGCCAGAGTGCGAGTTTCCTGAAGATAAAAAAAGTTATTATTAAAAGTCTCAATGCAGTACAGAATTAGCCAGTCACAGTCACAATAGAGTAACAAACTATTTCCCCATAACAAGTACTTCACAGAGAGGAAGAAATAATCCTCCCATAGCACAGTAAAAAGTGTCCTAACAAACCGTAGCTATTCTCTGTTATCAATGACTGTAGCTCAACAGGCACATACAGAGTTTTGGGGGAAAAAAAGGCATCAGACATAAGCTTAATCCAACAGCCAGTATGAACTAAGCAAACAATTAAATGACCATTATCTATCAGACACAATTATATTAAGGATAAAAAGCGTGCGTTTAAAAAAAAAAAAATTTTAAAAAATCGATTCAACTATTAGCCAAGCCTGATAACTGTACAAGTGATTGTAAAAGCTGATTTTATGACAGTCCATGAAAGACATGCTATGCTAGTTTCACACCTTCCACTAATTTATGTCACTACCAAACAGCTACACTATGGCAAAGCACCCCAGACTTTGGCATGGGAACCTCATGCTCCATCCACTGACTCACCTTATGGCTTTCAGAAAGGTAGTACACGAGCCAATAAAGTCTGAGAACCATTACTTTATTTTGGTAGGTACCTCCCTCCTAGCCCCACTTCACCGTGACCACCTATAGATTCCCTACCTCATGAGTATTAATCATTCTAGTAATACTGCATGACAACCTATGTTCATAGAAATCCCATGTTCACCCCCTTCCAGAAAACGAAGTCCACCTCATCTGTAATAGCATCATGTTCATGTTTTCCTTCTATCAGCTGCTTTATTTTGGTAGGTACCTCCCTCCTAGCCCCACTTCACCGTGACCACCTATAGATTCCCTACCTCATGAGTATTAATCATTCTAGTAATACTGCATGACAACCTATGTTCATAGAAATCCCATGTTCACCCCCTTCCAGAAAACGAAGTCCACCTCATCTGTAATAGCATCATGTTCATGTTTTCCTTCTATCAGCTGACTTTACACAGAATCACAGAATGGTAGGGGTTGGAAGGGACCTCTGTGGGTCATCTAGTCCAACCCTCCTGCCAAAGCAGGGTCACCTACAGCAAGCTGCACAGGACCACGACCAGGCATGTCTTGAATATCTCCAGAGAAGGAGACTCCACAACCTCCCTGGGCAGCCTGTTCCAGTGCTCCATCACCCTCAGAGGGAAGAAGTTCTTCCTCATGTTCAGACGGAACTTCCTGTGCCTCAGTTTGTGCCCATTGCCCCTTGTCCTGTCACTGGGCACCACTGAAAAGAGCTTGGCCCCATCCTCCTGACACCCACCCTTCAGATATTTGTAGGCATTTATAAGGTCCCCTCGCAGCCTTCT